CTTGCCCCAAGGACTACAAAGCACGAGGCTGGAAGTGTCTCCAGACTGGTGGCAGCGCCGAGAAGCTGTAGTTGTTTCTTTTTCTGCTGCTGGGAAGCTCACGCTGTCACCTTTCCCCAGGTGGACCAAGGCCCACGAGCTGCTGTCACAGCAGAAGATCCAGAAGGGGGACATAGCCCAGATCGTCAGGGAGTCGGACGTGATGCTGAGGTATGGACTGGGGGCTGGTTGTGTTCCTGCAGCCCTTTCTCCTGCCGCTGAGCGAGGTCTCCTCGCTTTCACCCCACCCGTGTGCAGCCTCCGGAGCGTGGCAGATGCAAATCTCCCTTCCTGGGGCCGAGCTCCAGTGGTGAAAGAGCCAAAACTCAGCACCATGACCACAGCCCGAGCTCGATCCCGTGCTGCTCCCTGCAGGGCTGACTCCTTCCTGCTCAGGAACCTCTGCCACCACCCTCGAACCTTGGCCAGGAGCGACCGAGGGGATGAGGGGTGGGCAGAGCCCCCCGCTGTCTGCAGGGCAGGGGGGCAGGGAGCAGCTCCCCTCTTCCAGGAGAGATCTTCTCTCCACCTGGTGGGCCTTATCCAGGCCCTTGGCTCAGTATCACATCCCACCCACAGCACAAAAATATTGAGCTAAAACTTGCTGTTAAAGCTGGCCGTGGCAGCGACCGTCCTAAAACAGGCTTGGGGAGCCTTGGTTTGAAGGAGCTGCCAGGCTCAGAGGGGAGAGGGTGCCATCTGCCCGGCTTTTCATGAGCCCAGGTTCCCCTTCTGCATGGAAATAGTGTCCTGGCAGACTGAGCCCAGGCTTGTGTTTGTGTTTGGGGAGTCCCGGGCAGAAATAGGAGCCTCATGGCTGGGCTGAGGGTGCCCCCAGCCCATGGCACCTCACTGTGAGCCAGGAGGGGGTAATGCAGTACTGTGTAACTCACATTTCTGCCCCAGGGATGGATTCAATGAATTATTTGACCAGCTGCATAAGCACAACATCCCCCTCTTCATCTTCTCCGCTGGCGTCGGTGACATCCTGGAAGAGATTATCCGTCAGGCCAATGTCTTCTACTCAAATGTCAACGTGGTGTCCAACTACATGGACTTTGACGAGAAGGTGAGTTTCTGCAGCCTGTACCTGTGGTCAGCTCGTGGAGAGGAGAGTTATTGGACTGGGATTGAGGGCTGTGACCTGTTTAACAGACACCACGGGGTTAAAAGGTGCCCATTTCGAAGTCAGAGGTTCCCCTGAGCAGCAGGAGCTGGATCAGCAATGGGAGAGCAGGGGGTGGGTGAGGTGGGCAGGGAGAGTGCAAGATCAGCTGAGCATCTGCTGATGGTCTCAGGGACTGAGTCCTTGCCTTCCAAATATGCTTTTTGGTGGCAGAAGGACAGTGCCATCTCTGTGTCCAGCACTTTGTGCTCTGTCATAGTGCGGGGGGAGGATGGAGTTAACCACAAAGATCCCTCCTGATGTGAAGGCCAGATGTCCTTTCAAGCAGCTTGGAAGGGCTTTGTTGACGTGCTGAAGCCTGAAAATTCCCAGTGTGCAGTAGAAAATTGCACGTCTCTTACAATGAAGGCTTCTGTTCCCACGGGTGGTGTGTTGGGACACGCTGTCCTCGGGGGAGCACGGGACAACGGGACAGTCCTGCCCTCTGCAAGGGCCCTGCTCTGCCCTGCGGCTCCTTTGGCTGTGGCTTTTGTGGCCCCTGACTAGTTCCAGGGCAGCACAGAGACCTGACCAAGGTCTCCAGGATCTCCATCCTTTGGGTTCCTTCTCACCTTTGAGAAGAGCTTCCCCTGCAAAAGGGGACTCCAAGGAATTGGCTCCAGGTGTTTTGTGGCTGATGGGTTTCCAGACTTCTCAAAGATGTCTCTGAGATGAGACCTGGTGCCCCATGAGCATCCCCCCAACTTTACCCACTGCGGCCCAGCGGGATCAACTTGAGTGTCCTCTTTGCACAGGGAGTCCTCACGCATTTCAAGGCCCCTCTCATCCACACCTACAACAAGAACAACAGCGTCCTGCAGGGGACAGAGTATTTCCAGCAGCTGAGCACGAGGACGAGCATCATCTTGCTGGGGGACTCCATGGGTGATCTGACGATGGCAGATGGTGTTCCCAGCGTGGAGAACATCCTCAAGATTGGCTTTCTCAACGACAAGGTGGGTGTGAGAAGCAGTTGTCTCACTTCCCTGCCAGCCTTCCCCAGGCCCCCAGCCTGAGGGGCAGCAGAGAGGGGCAGGGGGCTGTGAGAGATTCATATAAGCTCCCGTGGGGGGTGCAGAGGGAGCTGGGGGTGTCTGCTGAGCTCGCAGTGCCCCTGGGGCATTGTTGGGGTGGTTATTGACCCCTCCTTTCAGTACCATTAAGAGGTGCAAGGGCTGAGGGTGCAGCATCTTTGGTTTTGGCTGATGGCACTTAGTCCTCTCCTCTCCACCCCGTCCTGGCTGCAGGTGGAGGAGCGGAGGGGGAAGTACCTGGCATCCTACGACATCGTGCTGGAGAGCGACGAGACGCTGGATGTGGTCAACGGGATCCTCCGGTACATCCTTATGGAGACATGAGCTGGGAAGGCAGCTCTGGCCCCTCAGGAAGGCGCCTGAGCAGTGAGTGTCCTTCCCTCAGCAAAGCTGGAGTGGATCTTCTGGTACCTGCTGGGCTCCATCCTGGCGCTGGGCAGGGTCCCAACCCCAGCAGCCCCCTTCGGTCAGCCCTGCAGCAGGACAGGGGAGATGGAGGAAGCTTCTTCTCTACTCCCTTTACCCAACTGTGCCTGGTTCTGCTCCAGTCCCCCCTTCAGGACTCCATCCTGCTCCAACTCCATCCCCCTTCAGGACTCCATCCCGTTCTGACTCCATCCCTGCCACCGCCTGAGGCCACCACAAACCATGTCATCATTTTGGTAGAGAATTTCTGCGCTTGCTTCAGCAGCTGAGCACAGAAATGGAGATCCTTTGCTGTGGCTTGAGGACAGTCCCGTTTTAGATGGAAGCTGTTTAATTTTCCTGTGTCCCTGTCTAAGAAAACAAGTCTCTCTCTCTCTCGTCCTGTTTTCTGTGGGCTTCAAAGTGCCGGGGCTGGGCTCTGTCACCTGTGGGCTGGCGTGGCCCTGCCAGGCACAACATCACCCAGCCCCACGTCCCCCCGTGCCCCCGACCTGCTCCCCCTCTTGCTCCGTTACAGCTCAGGCTGTGAAAAAAAGAGGCTTTTCTGGTCATCCCTGCACAGAGTGAGCAGCGAGTCTGTCTGGTGAGGAGTGGCGTGTTTGCAGCCCAGGGTGTGGATGGGGGAGGAGGAGCCAGCGGCAGCATTTTGGTTTTTAGGGAATATTTTAGCTCACCATGTTTCTGTTGTAAATTGCTGGGCTGATCCTGGGCTCTCAGAGCAGCAATAAGAAGCAGCCTCTTGTTTCTGTGTAACCTCTGGGAGCATAAGGAGTAAAGCAGGGGCAGCAAGGGGCAAATTCAGACCTTTAGGTGGGAAACTGTGTTCACATCCCATCCTGATGGTGACCAGAGCCTGGGCTGGTGCAGGGAGAGCTCTGGAACAACTCTTTGGGGACATTATTGTCACGGTGTCCCAGCACAGGCCACGCTGCTGCTCCTGCTGCTCCAGGTCCAGCCCTCACTGCCCTCTGCCTGATGGATGAGTAAACGTGATTCCGAAATGCAGGCTCTGTTCTCCTTGTCGAAATAAAAGCATTGGCTGAAGCTGGGCCCCGTGGGGTTCGTACCCAGTGCCACAGAGCTGCTCTCCTCCCTGGGGCTGGCACTGATCCTGCATCTCCACATCCCACCCCGGGTCATCCCCATCGCTGCCAGAGCCCCCCAGGGCTCTGCATAGGAGCTGAGGCACCCTCTGTCTCTGCTGGAGGATCCCAGAGCAGAGCTTTGGTTTCTCTCTCTCCCAACCAACCCAGCGGGCACCGGAGCCCAAATTCCCGGCTGCCAGGGATGGGCCAGGCTTGTCTTGCCCGGACACGCAGGATGTTTCATGGCAAAGTCCCCTGACACAAAAGCAAACTCCGTGGAAACCAGTGGAAACTATTTATTTGGTGCAAGGTAAGTCGTCGTTTGAGGTGGAGGGGTTTGCTCTGACCCTTTACACTGTTCTGTTCTCCCCTTTCTTTTACCTCCGCCGGGGAGACGCTGTGCAAACGCTCCTGGAGCAGGTGGGAGGTGGTGGGGCCGTGCTGGTCACAACTGGCAAACCTGAGAGCGCCCAGTTCATGAGCATCAACATAAAATTGGGCTGATTTTTCACGATGGCTGAGGGCTGTCGCTGAGGATGCGGATGGGGACGATGCTGCTCCCTGAGGGCCTGGGTGGGAGAGGGTTTCTCTCCTCCTCCCTGCTGACAAGGGGGTTGCCAGGTCCCAGCCCTCTGTCCTGGGGGGCCTGAGGCTTTCTGTAACGGGGGGTCCATGTGGGGCACCTGGGTTTCACCCTGGGAACCTGAGCCCCCTCCAGCCTGCCGTCGGGGGGAGGGCGGCAGCGGGGACTGGCACCAAAGGCTTCTCTTTATTTCTCCTCTCTAAAAAATTTTGTGAGTGTATATATATAAAAAAAAATCCCCAAACCCTAACCCTAAACTACAAAACGCTGGGGTAGAAGTGGAGGGAAGCCCCCTCCTGCCCTCCCGGGAGGCAGCAGCGGGACCTGCAGTCACTGGCTGAGGATGAGGGAGCTCAGGGGGGGACACGCTGCCCCAGCCCCTCCATGGGGAGCCGAGGGCAGGGGGTCGAAGCGGGGTTTGGCAGTGGTGTGGGGCAGGGTCTGGCACCCTCAGTCCCACTCCACGGCAGAGGGGGATGCCCGAGGGGATGGGCAGCGTGAGGAAATGTGGATGCTGCCATCCCCGTGGGGCATCAAGATTCCCAGGAAAGTGGGTTTTTCCCACCTTCTGGCTTGGGTTTATTAGCTGGGGGTTGGCGAGTTGTCCTGCTTGGGAGGAACACATCAAAAAACCCCTCAGTTAAATAATAGGGGGAAAAAAAAAAAAGCAAACAACCAAAATACCCACCCCTGAAGGGCTGGGGAGGGGCAGGGGCAGATTCCCAAGGCAGCTGGGGGGGTGGGGACACCAGCTGTGACACAACGGGGATGAGTCCTGTCTCTGGGGGAAAGTGAGGTCTGATGCTCAGAGCTCCTCGTGGATCTTCTCCTGGTCCTCATCCGACTTCAGCTTCAGCTCCTCGGTGGTGATCTTCCCGTCCTGGTTGCGGTCCTGGTTCCTGAACATGTCGGCGATGACTTTCTCCGGGTCAGAGCTGGGCATGAGGCGACCTTTCCCTTCCGCCACCTGGGTCTTGATGAAGGTGGAGAACTGCAACGGGAGAGAGGGGAGATGCCACTTTGCCCTGTGCAGCAGCAGGGATGGGGCAGGGACAAGGACATGGGCTGCCCTCGGTGTCCCTGCCCCATCACAGCCCTCCCAACAGCAGCGATGCTCGGGGCTGGGGTTGTTCAGCCTGAAGAAGAGGAGGCTCCGGGGAGACCTAACAGCAGCCTTCCAGTACCTGAGGGGGCTACAGGAAGGCTGGGGAGAGCCTGTTTAGAAAGGCCTGCAGTGACAGGACGAGGGGCAATGGCTTCAAGCTGGAGGGGAACAGATTTAGACTGGAGATGAGGAGAGGGTTCTTCACTGTGAGGGTGGTGGAGCACTGGAACAGGTTGCCCAGGGAGGTGGTTGAGGCCCCATCCCTGGAGATATTCAAGGAGAGGCTCGACGAGGCCCTGGGCAACCTGGTCTAGTTGGGGGTGTCCCTGCTGACTGCGGGGGGGTGGGACTAGATGGCCTTTGGAGGTCCCTTCCGGCCTGGGCAATTCTATGATTCTATGATTCTTCCTGCACAGCTCTTCAGGCTCCCGAGGGCTGGGGACCACGGTGCCCTTAGGGTGCTGTTCCCCGGGGTGGGGGTCCCCTGCACCCCCTGTTCCTCCCGCACCCCCTAAGCCCAGGGCTGGCAGCGCTCGGGGCTCTCGCTCACCTCGTCGGCGGGGATCTCCCCATCCTTGTTGAGGTCCATCTGCTCGTAGAGGTTTGCCGGAGGGTCCCCGTGCCAGATGAAGAGGTAGCCCTCAGGAACCCCCTCCTCCATGGAGATCAGCTCCACCTCGAAGCGCAGCACGGCGCTGCCGGGCACCCCCCGGGCTGAAAGGCAAGTGAAGGTGCTGCACCGCGGGGGAACCCAGCAAAGAACTGACCCCTGATGGGGAAAAGCCCCCAGCTGGGGCTTGGAGGAGCCCAGCAGCAGCTCAGTGAGGCAGAACCCCCCCGTTTGCCCCCCCCCCCGAACACGCTGGTCCCTTACCTCCGCTCTCCCCGTGGCCCAGGTGGGGGGGGATGATGAGCACCCTCCTCTCCCCCGCACACATGTTGAGGAGGCCACTGTTCAGCCCCTCGATCACCTTGTTGGTCCCCAGAGTCACCTCCTGGGGCTTCTCGTAGTCGTGGCTGCAGGAGGCACAAAGAGCAGGCGGCTGAGGAAACCCCTCAAACCCCGTGGGCAGCCCCACCACGCCCCAAAATCCCTCACCCTCCATCCCGTCATGCCCCAAATCCCTCACCCTCCACTCAAACACCCCAAACCCAGCCCCATCCATCCCCCTGTGCCCCCAAACCCCGCACTCTCCACCCCCCAGCACAGCCCCTGTGGCCCCGCAGCCGATGCTCCGGTGCTGCCGGTTGCAAAGAGCTGATGCTCCCAGCGTGGCTCCGGTGGCCAGCGCCGGGCAGGATGTGGCCCTGGGAAGGAAAGCCCAGGGAAGGCACCCACGAGGAGAAGAGCTTGGTGCCATCCAGCAAGGAGCAGTTGTAGTGGTAGCGGACGAAGTCTCTGTCGCGGGTGGTGAGGTTGCAGCCCTCGGGACGGTACACGGTCTCGATCTCCACTGGGTCCGCGGGGTTGTGGAAGTCGATGATGTGGACGTCGAAGATGAGCACGGCTGAGCCAGGAATTTTGTCCCCTGGAAGAAGAGGACCAGGAGAGGTGCTGGGAGAGCGGCTGCGAGCGCCGCGGGGCCGGTAAAGCCTTTCCCTGTTTTTTTCCGTGCCCCGTGGTGTCTCCATCCCTTGGAGCCCTGGCTCTGCATGTGGTGGCACCAGCCTTTCCCCTGCCCACAACACCCCAGCCCGACACCCAGAGCCCTGGGGATGGTGGTGGCCCCTGGGGGTGAGGAACTGGTCCCACCTGGGTGTTTTCCCCATGTCAGCCCCTCGGTGTGAGGATGCACAGGGCTGGAGGGGGGGATGCTGCAGCTGGGGGGGCTGCACCGTGTGGGGCTACCCTTTACCTGCTCCGTTCTCCCCGTAGGCCAGGTGTGGGGGGACGACCACCCGCCTCTTCTCTCCCACGCAGACCCCTTGCAGGCCCTGGTCCATGCCGGGGATGATGTAGCCCTTCCCGATGTAGGTGTTGTAGGTGTGATTGCGGGAGTAGCTGCGGTGAGAGAAGCCCCCAGCACCATGATGCAGGAGAGCCTGGTCCATCAACCCCCCCCCAA